TAATGAAATAATATTCTTTATTTTGAAAACTTATATATACATACACATTATATTTACTTAAATTTATATTTTAATTGAATAGACCTGTTTTTTGTATAAATTATATAGTTATAATTTGTATTTTTAAAGAAATTCAATAATACAAACAATAACAATTACATCAAGTAGAGGAGACAATATTAAGTTGCTTCATCCAAGGAATGTGAATTGAATCAATGATACTAAGGATAACGGGCAATACAATTAAACCATTAAACATTGAGAATATCATAACTAAAACAATTATCTTAAAAAATACAATCAACATATAAGACGATCCGAAAACACAAATTAATGCTCCAATTATAGTGGAGAAACATCCTTGAACAATAGGATATCCTATGCATTGGAAAGCTGCTTTTATTTTCTCATTAGGATCTGTTTCTTTGCAATTTTTATAAGCGTGAGCAATGTGCACCGAGTAATCAACACAAAATCCCGCACTCATAATTAAAATTATTACAGAGAAAAGATGTAAACCGACATTCCATGCACTTGCATAACCTAGAGCTTCTATTTGAATACAAATAACCATAAATAAAACAGCAATGCTGTAAGATATGTCAGAAATAAATGCAAAGAATATTACAAATACCGACACAATAGCGATTCCAATTGATTTCAAGTATATTGTAGGCATATTTAAATATTGATCGTAGAATACAAACCACATGTTATAAACAAACACATCATATTTGCTATCAGCTGCTATTTTACGTAATTCCTCGATTAAAAATTTTTCGTCACTTCCGCTTCTGACGTTGCGATAAGCAAGTAAACATCTCGAAGCGACAATTTGGTCACGTTCCTTATTCCACAGGATATCATCTTCAAATATTCCATTGTGAAATTTTAAAAACACTTTTTTTAATCCTTCTAGAAATCCCTTCGTCGTATTTACATCAAAATCTTTAATCAAGTAATTTATTCTAGAATCACGAATATAAGACAAATATTCTCTCAACCAACATTCGGAATAATTGGATCCAGTCGCGTAAGGTGCACTTTCGAATGTTCTTAAAATGTTTTCTATGTCCATTTGAACGGTTGGATTTGAATAATCTAGAGTTTGATTAAACACTATTTGTACTCGGCAAGGATAATCGGTAAAATATTGATAATGAAGTTTTATAAATTTGTGAACAAAAGAATTGAATGGAAAAACTTTAATAAAATCATAGCCTTGTTTTATAGAATTAATATTATAAATTGCTCCTGCTAATAGAGAAATGAATGATAATATTACTAATACTTTAGTCATCTTTCTACTTAGTAAAACTCCAAACTCTTTTGGGATACTTATCATTATTTTCAGGACGTTCAGAATATTTTGAATATTTGAAGATTTTCTTTCTATAAAAAATAAAATTTCAGTATTTCAGTATGAATATATTTATGAAATAGTGATAAAATAATAATAAATCATCTACCTAATCTAATCTATAATATATATGAATATATATATATCATAATATTTATGTTTGTTTTTTAAAGTCTATGTTGAATGTTCACGTAGAATATTTTCTAATTAGAATCAACTGTATAAATTAGTATTAAATACTTTTTTATAGAATTTTTGTAATGACAGAAAAAATTATATGAAAATAATACTATATGAGTTAACAATTTACACGTAACCAATTTAAGAAAATTGTGTACTTATTAAAAATTAAACATTAAATGGCAAACGTTAATGTGTTTTCATACTTCTCAAACGTTCTCTTTTGATTCTGTACATGCAATAGATTTAGACGATTTTGAGCACATGCTGAATTCTGTACATATTTTCTAACCGTTGTATGGACAAGTGCCCATTTTATGCAGCTAATTTTGTACACAGATGAAGCCAAATTTATCAGAAAAGTTGCTCTCAACTCAAACTGCCACATTTAGATGAAGCAAACCTGCATGCTACGCATTTCCATGGATGCCAGAAAGATTCAGCATCAATATGTGGACAGGTATAATTACTGGTCGTTTGATTGAGTCGTAGAAGAAAGTATGGCCAGCAATGGTATCAACGACCAGTCAAACCCGACCTAACAAGTCACAAAGACGTTTATAACAAAGGTAAGAATTGACTGCTTATAAAAAGTGACGAGTCGCTTTAATAAAGCGTTGCCAATGATGTAACATAACTTGGCAAACTGTCACTGCGCTTCAGTCATGGACGAAATTCTTCTAGTTTTATTTATTACAACAGAAAAGGGTTATTTATCAATACAAGCAAAATGCATTTTTTAACAACAAATGGAATAATAGATATATGCATTGATACTGTATTAAGATTTTCAGTTTGTTGCTGGAACCACAACTCGACTTGTTAGAAAATTTCTTTCAAAAGGACTTTAAAGGATCAATTTTTATATGATAGTATTACAATTAATAAAAGACATCATTGATCAACAATGCGTTTTCCTAAAGTCATCGTGTAAGCGATGAGTGGTGACGTATTTCATCAATTAGTCGTCGGATCATCGTGTCTGAGTAATGACGCGCTCAATGAATAGTTTCCTAAACTAACTCGGTGGTGACGTCGCTACATCTAAACCAATTAGCTACCGATGAGTTTCCATGACAACTTTAGGTACAGTATAATAAACTAAATACNATTATTTATTATATCTACTGAATTACTGCGTGAATGATATAGTACGAAATAGATGCATCATTGCGCCATTACTGAGACAGGTAGCACAAAGCACTTACCTGCTTGAAGCGTAATAGCGTTTTCCCTCTGTACATCATGCTTTTCCTGTTACATCTGATCTCGACTTTCATCTATTAACTCAGTTCTCGAGATTAAGGAAGGACAGAGACGGTTGGACAACAATGGGAATTTATAGGTCTACAATTCTTTTAAATTGCACTCCAATAAGTATCCTCCAGTAACCGAGTGGATAAAACCATCGATCACCGGTAGTAGTTCGTGGGTTCACGCATGGCCAACGGAATGGCCACGTGGAGTTTTCTGGATTTTCTTCGCGTTAGTAACACTTAAATTGGAGCCAGCTTTAGATAAAAAGATATTTTCGGGATACATCCTCCTTGACAGATCGCTCACGTGTCGCGTTGCCGTAACCAAATGAACCAAACCAATTTTAATAATTTTTCTATAAACGCGATTTACGAGGACATGCTTAACTATCAGGAAACTGGACAACACACCCCTCCCCTTCCCTACTCTGATTTCATCTCTCTTAGTAACTCATAAACCGTTGCCCAAAACTTCCTACTGATACTGCTGAATGATGTTCTAACGTTTAGCCAAATTAATGTATGTGCAACGATCTTAAAGCACAAATTAGAGCTCGAAGTCTTTTTCTATGCTGATGTTGATTTTTCCTACTTATTATCATGGCGACATTGCTTCATTCAAAATTTCCTGTAGTTATATTCTGTATAATGTGACCTTTATTCAATGTTAAGTCTTACTGTCAAATCTGCTTCCACTATTATTATATCACAAGGGTCTAAAAGTTTCCTTTACTTAGATATTCTTGCTGAGTTTTACTAAGGTTAGCTACTTCTATCACGTGCAGGACCATCACAACCTATACAACACGGATCACTTTTCAAATATTAATAGTAGACCAGTATTAATTAATAGTCGTTGACCATCCTCTATCCCGGGAGAGAGACAATTATTACTTTCGGTCGAATTAACTTCAACCTCCATCTGAAACAGTCCCTTCTTCTTATCCGACCCACCGGTCCTACCGGTATGGTGGCATTCTAATAGAAAATTACATAATACGAAGTTGCCAACCTGCATAAAATATGATTTAAATGATTTTCGAGGGTGCCGAGTTTAAATGTTTGGTCCGTTTTTCGCGAAATTTGATTGGTTGGCAGATTATCATTTGATATTCGGCTGTGAATAGAACAGTTTCTTAGAATTAACATTAGAATTATTTATTCCTCTACTATACACAATTTATTTAAAATGTGTTAGATTGGTAACTTGGTGTTATAAATCTTTACATAAGATAACTTTCGTAGTTATATAAATCAAATACTATAATATAATATATAAGGGTTAGAAATACGAAAGAATCCAATAATCTTAATATTTGTTGTTACTGTTTGCCCGAGTAACTCCGGGCTCATCTGCTAGTTGTTTAATAAATCACCTCAAAATATCTTCTGTAGAATGGATACATTGAATATCGTATCAGCAGAGCAGTAAATATAATACAACGCACTTTTTACATCTATAATTATTTGCAGATATGACAGTATGGGAAATTAATGCACAAGATCGCTGTAATTTCATTGTTTAATTGTTATGTATTTCATAATCGTGTGTCTTTCCTGTGAACACATGTGATTCACATATGGTTATTAGCTAATAGCAGATGTCTTGTGATAGCCAATTGAAAACAAACAGTAAAATCTAGAGTTAGGAACTTTAAAGTTTAAACACATATTGCAGTTTTATTATATTGGAAGTGTTAGTTATACTAACTGTGCTATATTTCTTAATCTGTATATCAAGACCAAAAGATGTATAGGAATATTAATAATTGTAATGAAAAATGTGTACAAATTAATACAAATGAGAATAAAAATCAAGAAAAGGAAATTGAACCAGTAAACTCTACGGGTGAGGTGAAGACAGGAGAATAGGAAAAGTACCACTACCATAAAGAAGACAGATGAATATTCACAAAGTTTTTACTGGACTTGTTTAGTATTGTAGTGTTACTGTCCTAGTGATAATTTTAGAATTCTATTAATAATATGTATGTAATAACTTGTAATAATTGTATTAATACTATTAACATCACCTGTGTATATTGTAATGCGGTGGCGTGAGATGACATTTGATAATAGGCAATTGATAAGGGTCAGTAAGGCTCAAATATATTTTGGAATAAGTTAATTAAATAGGCTAGGAATGTAATAAACCTGTTCATTAGTCATAAGTAATTAAGTAGTTTTTGTAATTAAAGGCAAGAAGAGTTTTTAATATAAGAAAAATTTATTCTATCCTTTGTATGTAATGCGAAGAAACATATTACAGTGGTACTTTATACTTCGAACGTAAAATTCGACAGAAATTCGCCTCGTTGTTCGAACTGCGTGCGCGATGTAAAATGTACTCGAAACATAAAGGAATCCTACTCATCTCTCGCGTTATGCTTGTATATTTTCAGTGCTTTTCTTGCTTTATTTTTAGTGTGTTTGGTTATATAGAATAAAATCTCACTATCTATAATATTTTATAACTGTCATAATTAAATCACACATCTACGTTAAGATGCGGAAGTCCACGGAGTGCGATCAATAAATGCAATTTTCATTTTATTATACATTATGTAAGTAGTTTATTTATGGTTTTCAGTTTTAATTTATGATTACGGCATTTAATTGTTTTATTTATAAATTAAATTATGTGAATTTAAGTTTATCGAAATAGGTATTGTTTAGGGTCTGGAAATTGATTAATTAACTTTCATTATTTCTAATGGGAAAAATTGATTTGGACTTCGAATGACCTCCTGGAACGAATTAAATTTGAAGTACTGATTATGAAGATTAATCTGTCAACGACATGTAAATTTAGTGATTTTAAAAATGAATGTTTTAATTATATATGTTAAAATTTTAATATACCGGCGAAACAAGAGGAATGTTCTAACAATTTTGGTGGGACATTAGAAAAAATGTATTTTTCTTTAACCGTATTGTTTTAAGACGAATTAAATACATAATTTCAACTGGAAAAAATTATTTATTTTTCAAATAGAAGATTCCTGCTCGATAGTTGAATCAGCTGTTCAATAGTTCGTTGAGTTTTGGCGGAAAAATTACCTCGTTTCCGGGCTAATGAGCAGCCGCCTTGTCTGTTATGTTTTAGACTGAATGTAAATTTGGTTAGACAGAAATAAAAAAAACTCTATTAACTTCATGCACGTTGAGTTACAATCCATATTACTCGTAAATATTTAGTTTGTCGAAGCTAATTTGGGTGGATTGAAGATTCTAGAACTGTCCACCGCTTGAGTCATTGTTGCTGTTCCCTTGGATTAATTCTGTTGAAGCCAGCCCTAATCATCAGTTCAAGGGAGTTTATACTTTCATAATTAAAGTCTAAAAAAATGCTTTAACCGAAAAGAAAGTCCTCAAGTCTAATACAACCAAACTTACAGAGAGATTATGTAATAGTGTTCATTATGCAGACTATAGTCAAACAGAGCAATTTGAAACCAAAAGTAAAAAATATGCAGTGATGAGTTTCATGATATATTTCAAGAGGTCACTTCTCAATGCACTGATAAAAAAATTGGAATGTATATTTAAGAATAGTAATACATTGAGGAACTTATTGATGAACTTTGGTTAACTGA